AAATCATTTCTCGGGAGGCGAAGGGGCCGTCGAGCGGTCATCTCCTGGGAAGAGAGAAAAGAGCACTCGGCCGGCAGTGGTTGTTGATTGGATCTACGGCGCTAGTAGCGCGGCTCAACTGCTTGTTTGCATGTTCTCTTGGCTTTTTTCTTCCAGGGGAGGATCGCCCCGCGCAGATTGGCGGAGTGTTTCTCCCAGTGCGACGATCAAGCTTTCGCAGCAGGATTTGCCAAGCGATGCGGCTTCATGTCTTGTTTCTCCATAATGCGGGCGACGGAGGCTATTCCGGGCATCTTAGGCGTTCAAATCCGGCGTCCAGTTATTTCGCTTTCCCCCTTGTCGAACCAGAGAACACCAAGCCGCCGGTGCCAAGGACACGAACGAACGACAGGAAGGAAACCTAAGGTATGGCGAAAGATTAACCGCGTCAACCTGCAGAGGAGACGTAATCGTGTGGTCGTGGACACGGATGTGATTGACAAGTCAGGTTATCGAAAGACTTTTAGACTGACATGATTCACACCTTAAATTTCCAGCGAGTATATGACCCGCTTCAGCCAAGGCAAGCGTTGAGTTTCCCTGAAAGTGTGGGTTATGGAAGGCGATGGATGGCAAATAAGTGGCCGTACCAAACCGTGGGACGCGCGGGATCGATCTCCTCTGCTCCTGCACTCCGCGAAAAGGAAATAAGGTTTGGCGTTCCTGCATTGCGCTCCCTCAGAAAATACCTCCCTGCTGTGTCGGCTATCCCGCGGCCAGATTTGTATTTGCGTGAGGGCAAGGTCCAGGTCTCGAAACGTGCAGCTTGCACGTTTGGGATCTTGTAACCTTAAAGTCTGATCCCGCCGGTTGGACGCCTTCAGACGAAAACCTGCGCGGGAAGGGCTGTACCTACCCTACTGCGCAGCGTGATTCTACGACATGTACTGTCTGAACCAGTACACCTGGCCCCGGTAGGGCCTTTGGATCGAAGGCAAACAGCAGTTGCAGTGCTGTCCCCCCGAGTAAGAAGGAGAAACTGTGCCTGGGTTTGGTAGTTCGGATACAACCGTAGAGCCGACTGTCCGACTCGTGATCCGTACTTCTAATCGTCTCGTCTTCTTGTCGACTTGGTTTTGATTTCCGTGCCTCTTTCATGTGCCTCGTCGTAGTTGGCCGTTGTCCCTAGTTGTGAATAATCTTCCAATTCGGCCCTCTGAGAGACGCGAACGACGACTCGATAATCCTCATCCCCTAACCGAGTCCATCCAACGAAAAGGCCAGCCGGAATGGCTCCTCTCAAGGCCCTCCTGGCCCTGGCGGCCGCCGCCGTCGCAGTCGAAGCCCGCCTTATGTCTCGAGCAGCCAACTTCGTCTCGGGCGTCTCGATGGTCAACATGGCCGCCGAAGGCGAGCAGATCAACCTCCAGATCGGCCTGAAGCTGCAAAACATCGACAAGCTCGAGCCCATGCTCAAGGACGTCTCCGACCCCGACAGCCCCAACTACGGCAAGTACCTGTCGGCGGCGCAGGTCAACGACATGTTTAAGCCGGCAGAGCAGTCTGTCGCCGCGGTGCAGGCGTGGCTCGCCAAAGAGAACGTCAAGGATGTCTCGTACACCGACGGGGGCCGCTTCGTCAACTTCGCGACGGACGTGGGGACTGCGAACAGAATCCTCGGAGCCAACTTTGCCTACTACGACGTTCAGGGCACGATGAAGCTGCGTACACAGCAGTACTCTCTCCCCGACACCATGGCGGAGCACATTGAGCTCGTGACACCCACGACGTACTTTGGAAAGATGAAGTCGGACCCCGCGTTCGCGGCCCCGATGCCCGCCGGTGCCATGCCGCCCATGCCTCCCCCGCTGGCTCGCAGACAGGGACAGAATCCGCCCGGTGCTACGGCGAACTGCTCCAAGGCCTTCACCCCGGCCTGCTTCGAGCTGGCATACAACTACGGCGCCTACCAAGCTGACCCCGCCGCCGGCAGCCGCGTCGGCTTTGCGAGTTTCCTGAACCAATCTGCGCGCCAGGACGACCTCACGGGGTTCCTGACACGCTTCCAACTGCCGCCGCAGAGCTTCAAAAGCGTCCTCGTCAACGGAGGCCAGGACCACCAGGATCCCAAGGGTCAGATCGGCGAGGCGAACCTCGACGCGCAGGTCATGGCCGCCGCGGTCAAGAACCTCCCCATCACCCAGTTCATCACCGGAGGCAAGCCGCCTCTGATCCCCAACCTCCGCACGCCGACGCAGGCCGACAATCAGAACGAGCCGTTCCTGGACTTTTACCAGTTCATGATGACGCAGGAGAACGCTGCCATCCCGCAGGTGCTCTCCGTTTCGTACGGTGACGACGAGCAGACGGTGCCCATCGAGTATGCCACGCGTGTGTGCAACCTCATTGGCATGATGGGCCTTCGCGGCGTGACTGTTCTCGAGTCGAGCGGTGACACTGGCGTCGGCGCCCCCTGCCGCGCCAACGACGGCAGCAACGCTCCCCAGTTCACGCCGACCTTCCCCGCCACCTGCCCGTACATCACCGCCGTGGGAGGTACGCAGGCGTTCGGCCCCGAGATCACGTGGGTTGCCTCCGGCAGTGGCTTCAGCAACTACTTCAAGCAGGCGTGGTACCAGGAGGCCGCGGTGACCTCGTACCTGGCGACGAGCATCTCTCCTGAGACCAAGAAGTACTACGAGCCGTTCGCCAACTTCACCGGCCGTGGGTTTCCCGATATCTCAGCCCACTCCGCCAGCCCGCCGTTTCCGATCGTCAACGCGAACCGGCTCGTCGGCACGGGAGGAACGTCCGCCTCTGCCCCGCTGGTTGCCGGCCTGGTTGGTCTTCTCAACGATGCTAGGATCCGCGTCGGCCAGCCGACGATGGGCTTCATGAACCCCTGGTTGTACAAGCGAGGATTCCGGGGCCTGACGGACGTGAACACGGGTGTCGCGCAGGGTTGCGGCGGTGTGGACTTGCAGTCTGGAAAGCCGTTGCAGGGCGCCGGCGTCATTCCCTTTGCGACATGGAACGGAACTCAGGGCTGGGATCCTGTGACGGGACTGGGTCTCCCTAATTTCGAGATGATGAAGACGATTGCTCTGATGAAGTGAGCGGGTACTCCCATAGACCAACCATCGGTTCGCTTTGGATGCTGTGTACTTAGGGATTCATGTCAGAGGCTGATGTACTTTCATAAACACGTTCAAACCAGGATTGGCTTAGGCACCGTGATGTGACAATGCTACAAGCGCCCCGTGACTGGTCATCGGTGTGATTTGATGCGCAATGCCCTCCAGCCATTGCTGAAGCTGTCAACGGGATACCGTCCTGCCAATTATACAGGCCGCTCAAGGACGTGTAGCCCTTCAAATGTATTTCTTTTACGCAAGGAAAAGTTTTTCTACTTCACAATGTATGACGAAGGAAAGACTTGAAGCCCTAACAGTGAACCTACGGTGGAAGGAACATGGCTTCGGAAGAGCCAAGAATCTTGATCTGGCGCCAACAAAGAGCAACCTTAATGCTGCCCCCAGGTATTGCTCCATGCTAGGGAACGCAAATTGACCGAAGGAAACGTGGGTAACGAAGATCCAAACTATCGGCGAGGTAGGGCTGGGAAATCATCTGCGTTATCTTGCGTGATGAATTGGCGTACCGGCTAAGACTGTTTAGCTAAAGCGCCTGCCAACCTTTGGTAAATGTCCCAGACGAGAACCATGGGCCCAAAGTGCAGTTATCATGCTTTATCCTGCCTTTGGATCCATCGACAGCACCACGAAACTGCGGTGGTTGGCTGAGTACGACTGGATGCAGTCCCCCCACCCACTTGTTTGGGGACGACAGAGTGAAATGTGACGATGACGAGAACTGCGGCTTCCCTTGGAAGCACCAAGCTGCCATCCCAGTGACAGCAGACTTTGATATTGGACCCTGGCATATACTAGACCTTCTATCAGACCGGCACTAGCCATTCAAATGTGAGGATAGCCTGACATGGCTAGGGTAGAATTTTCCGGGAGTGTGGACCAGCTCCGCGCGCGATAAGTCCCATGGCCCTGGGACCAGCTCCTTGCTTGCGAAGTTGGAATGCTAATTCTTTTTCTCGCCGGGCGCTCAGCCTGTCAGATTCCATCTTGGAGGTTAAATGAGGGCTGAGTTGGAGAGTCAGGGTAGCTTGTTCGTGGCTCGCGGCAGGGTCCGAGCCCAAGCACGATTTTCGCAATTGAGGTGACAGCTGAACCCTTAGCATCAAAAAGAGGCTGTTCAGGGGCAAATTGGGCTTTCATGCCGCTGGAGCGCACCATCGATCCATATGTTGGCTTTTGGCCGACGATTTCCTGCCTTGCGGGTGCAAAAAGAAAGATGTCTTTCAGTGTGTGTTGAGCGATAGGATAACAAGCCGCCCCAGTTGACAACGACGAGAACCGACGGAAAAAGAGGGCCTTCTGACGTGTTACTTCGCGAGGATGTCTGCTTCGAGGCATGAGGTTTCCTGAAATAGCCAGGATCGAGGCCACGCGGAAAGCAACATGATAAGAGCTAGTCGTGGTTCCTTGCCTAGCGGTGTGATGGTGTCGGTCCAGACCTACCGGCAGCGGGAGGAGAAGGCTGGACTGCAGCCTGCAGCTTGACGGGGCCGACGAAGAGGGCCGGAAGTACAGCAGAACTCGTATTTGGTTGCACAAGTCGATAGCAAAGTTGGATTGAAGCCGCCCACAACATCGATCTGTGGCTTGTTGCGGCAAATTTTCCGACTTGAGGAGATTAAATGGCACGAAAATGCACGGGCGGTGTATGTTCGTCAATCTGGCCCGAAGTTAAGGTGATAACCCAATTTCTGCGTTGTAGATATTGGTGCCGTTGAATCATTCGTGGTGCGACTAGGTACTCAAAGGTGTTTGAAAACAAAAGAGGACCATATTCTCTACAATGCAACTCTGGATTCAGCTGAGAGTTCTAAGTGGGGGTCGGCAATGGTCCATTCGGGGCTTCCACCCTTGAACATTTGCTCTGGGTCATCGTCGGCGTGGTGTGTGTCCACTGTCGAAGACTCTGCTCATCGACCTAGCAAAGCTGGGCAAGAGTCAGAATCGGTTAGTTCAACATGGCAAACCGGGAGGTGTAAATGCGTGATGGCAATAGCGTAGCACGGGATCTGCACAAACCGTCTGTCGCTTCTTTGATAGCTCAAATTAACGGGTACCCCATGACATTTTGGCGACTTGCCACCTCTTCGATGACAACATGCGGCAACACAAATCTCATGCGTCTCGATGCATCTCACAGATGCGGGATGAACGGGCCGTTCTGTTGATGAAATGCCACGTCCAAGAAACGCAGATCCTCTCGGCGCTCGGCCTCACGGTCGAAAATCAAGCTCGTTAAAGACGAGAGGGTGACTGGATGGCCTTGGGCGATAGGCGGGCCGACGGACGGCAACAAGGCCTCCGTACTGGGGCTGGTCGAAGCAGGAACGAAGTGTTTAACTTTTTCTGGTGGCAGAGCCGACAATTGCTGGTTCTTTGATCGGCGGACGAGCCACCTCATCAGGACCATTCTTTGTTGGGAGTCGAGTGTTTCCACTTCCATCATTCAGCTAGCAGGAACTGCAGCGAGCCTGGTCAAAAAAGGAGACGATGATACGTCGGCGGGATGCGACGCGGCAGAGGCAATCAAATGGCCGAAAAGGCGCCACCATCGGGATGAATTGGTGATGCGGCCGGAACTTCGTCCAATATTCCTGGTCGTGCAGCACACCAGTTGATATAAACGGGACGACAGGGCATCGGATTCGTGGACGACGGCTGGGCAGCAAAGATGGGTGCATGCATAGATAGACCAGGGGGAGCGGAAGATTTGAGCGAGGAAATTGGTTGCGGCCAAAGAGGGAATGGTAGGCTGGCGTAGTGCCGGCGAGCCGAAGACGGCATAGATGCATATAAAGAGCGGGTACCTGCACCTCTCGCGTCCCCGGCCAATGGGGATCATTCCATGGCCACGATAGGTAATAAGTCATCTTGTGCTATTGCATAAAGCAGGAACCACGCCTGGACGACACCCAGCAGAAGAAGGGACTTCGCCGGATGCGGGATCACCGGCTAGCTTGGGATCTACACGACAGTCCTCCGTCACTGCTTTTTTCTTCTTTTGTTCCTATCGTCCTTTTTCATGCAGGTTTCCATCTAGCTTGCCGTCTTTGCCCGCCAGCTCTTGCTGTCCTGCCGCCTCCCCCAGGTCTCCCGCATGAATACATACGAGACCACCTTCGCAGGCTTGCATCGATACGATTTCCTAATGTTTGCTATGCCTGCATGGACACGTACAATCTCCTGACACGCGGTGAGCCAAGCTAGATGTCACAGCTTCAGCAAGCCACAGCACACCCACCGACTTTCCACACTACTCTTCTGACCCGTCTCATTATCTCTCCCTCCCATCGGAACAGTACCTTCGCTTTCAAAAGTGAGCATTTGGAGGCACACACCCCAGTCCTTCCCGTTCACTAACAAATCCTCGTCCTTGAATATCTCTGAGGCCCCCTTGACCGAATTACTTGGAAATGTTAAAGTACCGATTTCTCGCGGCAAGCGAGCGCCTGGAGCTTTCCTTTTGTTCAGTCACAGTGGCGAGTGCCAACGCACAACTCGCGAGATCAGAACTCTTGACGACCTCCGATTCAGAACCCACCGTTGAGAACGATTCAAACTCAGTTTCTTTATGAGAATGGAAACATGACGCCAGGCTCAGCATCTTTGTTACGCGTACGAGGCACCGAGGACATCCCACTAAACGTGGCGACCGAAGCCCAGGTCAGAGACTCTTCGACTCAGGCGGGTGTGAGACTCCCTTGTTGGTTCTATTCTTCGTACAAGTTTACTAGATAAGGTTACCGAGACCTCGGAATGGCCTGGCATGTATTGTTGTTTCCCTCAGGGGTCTGGGTTGAGTTGGACTTGTCGTCTAAAAACAACTGCCTTGCACTCAGGGACAGTGCTACTTTGGCGCTGGCATCTAAGCCGACCGGCGCAAGCCACATAAACAAGCGTGGTGTCTCAGTGGTCCAAGACCTCTCGGAGGCTGAACTCGCGGCAAGCCTTTCCTCGAAGCGGAAAGGAGGCAAAAGGCACCTTTCCTCTCTAGGCTACAGACAACTGCTAGTGGCCTCTGGTTTTGTTTTCTCGTCCCAGCTTCAAAGCACTTCCTGAAGCCTTCGCAGCTTCGTCGTCAACTAGGAGGGCGCCAAGTCAAGGCGGCCTTCGACGTTCCTGAGCTAGATGCACCAGGAACCACGATTCTGTTCCTGATTACTCTGTTCCCCCTTCTGAGCAGCATTGATCAACGAAACGGACTCTCGAAGGAGAGATGGCTCCTTCCGGGGAGATCTCGGCGAGGCAATCGGGCATTCCCACCAAGACGGTCGGTCTGCTTCTTTCCCGATACCGCGTACTGGCAGAAACTGGGCTATCTATCTACATCCCACGTCCTCCCACCATCTCTGCGGATATTGTTGGCTATCCCGCCTTGGCCATTTCATGACGGCTGCATGCTGTGCTGAGCCTAGGCAGGGGATGCCGATAGACTAGAGCGAGTCTGGCTTCACAGGGGTGCAATGTCTCTTCTCAGTCTAACGGCTTGGCTCGGCGGCGCTTGGGCAGGCAGCTTTTACGCGACAAGGACTCGGCCTGCTTTGTCGTCTCGAGCCACGCTACTACCTCACGATGGGCGGATGTCCCTACCGTCTTTGTGCTTGCTTACCCGTCTTCCATGCAGCGCACGGGTGGCGCCAGCTTCTCATGTACGGAGCCACTCGATGCCGCTTGTCATCAATTCTCAGCTAACATGATAGTCCGTCTGGCGCGGGTGACTTAGACCGGCGGAACCCACCTTCACACCGTGGCTTTCGAGTCCAGCCGTTGTTTGTTCCCCTCCAGACCCAACTCGAGCATGGCCTCTCGTTGCCGCCGCCCCATAGCTGTTGTGGTTGTCGCGATGGCGTTGCCGGCCAGGCCATGCAATATTGCTCAGCTACCGGTGCCCCCGTGCATGCGGCTTAGGCTAACCTTTGTCCTGGACTTACTTGCTGACCTTGCCCACTTGAGAATACTATGCAGTGAGGCCTTCTCAAATATCTCTCTCCTCCTTCCCATCCCCTGGACGACTGAGCCTTCCTCTCCACCATCCACTCACTTACGGTGTCTGCGTCACTCTTTCTTTATCCAGACGCTGGAAGTGGTTTGACCAGCTTTGGTTCGTTCGTTTCAAAGACTATCACGAGATGCATGCTTTCAAGTCGTACCTCACGCCTGCCCGGGCGGCAGGCTCCGAGTCCAACAAATCTACAAGGCAATCGAAGCCGACTCCGTCAACACCACAGCACCGACAACAGTCTTCGGGTAACACTCTCCCTATGCCGTCGAATGCGACGCAGTCATCCGAGAAGCCGGGGCCGTATCGGAGCCAGAGCACTAGGACATCCGCGAGGCAGTCCACCGTGAGCTTGGCTCTCACTGCTGGCATGAGAGACAAGCATGCGAGCAGTATTATCGATCTCAGAGCTGATGTGACGGTGCACGGTATGTACCAGGAACAGCTGAGAAAGGGTTACGCATCGGCATGGAACCTGGGCGAGGGTATCGTCCTCAAGAAGGGTCGAAATGACTTTGTCTGCGCCCCTCCTCAGATGCAGACTGTGCCCTATGGGTTTTTTGACATGGTTGGCCAGCTCAACGTCAGCGTAAGTCGGAAAAATGACCCCAATTACATAATGTCAGAACTGACATGGAATAGTGTGCCATGACAGTGAACACTCCTGTCATCCAGTCCATCATACAAGGCCTTCTGAACAGCAGGGAGCCCAAGGACTCCGTTGCCCTGGAAGGAGGGTTGCAACTGCAGGTCCTTCCAAGGATGACCGACTTGCCTAGATGTCAGAAGCATCAGTATGCGGCTTTCGTACTCGACCCGCCTCTGCTGGTCGTATGGGACGATGATGCCAACAGAATCTTTTCTCGACCAGAGAGCATCGAGAAGATGATCATTTCCATGATTTGGAAGACTGACGATGGCGAGGAAGAAGATGAGCCGAAAAACGAGAAAGCAGTCGACATCAACATTCAGGAATTATCACCAGCCGCCCTTGAGGAGGCACTCAAAGCCGAGGTTCGGCCTTCCAGAATCACCAGTTCCATGATAGTCGCTCTCGCCCTGGCTCTCTCGATTACTTGCTTGGGTCTTGGTTACCGAGCTCTTGCATTGGAGATTGCAGTCGACAACAACTATACTCGCCTAGCTCTGCTTGCTGTTGGGCCAGCCGTGCTCTTCATCTCCCTATTCTTCTTCATGTCAATCTCTGGAAACATTTTCCAGATGTTTGGCCCTATCTCTGGTGTCAGCCAGAACTCCAAGAACTTCTCCGGCAAACCACCTCGTCGAATGAGTCCCCAATCAGGCGAGCTACCCCATGTTACAATCCAGATGCCTGTTTACAAAGAGGGCCTTAACGCCGTCATCAAGCCTACCGTCATTTCTCTCAAGGCTGCTATCTCGACGTACGAGATGCAGGGCGGCACCGCAAACATTTTGGTCAATGATGACGGTATGCAGCTCATCGACGAAGAGGAGGCTCAGGCTCGCAGAGACTTCTATGAGGAGCACAACATGGGATGGGTCTCCCGTCCTGGTCATAACCCCAACCCCGAGAACCCCGGCGAGGCTCCTTTCCTCCGCAAGGGTCGTTTCAAGAAGGCTTCGAACATGAACTATGCACTCATGACAAGCATCAAGGTGGAGGAGAAACTCATGGAGATTGAGCGCGGAAACAAATGGGGCCAAGAGAGCGAGGACCAAGTCTACGCTGAGGCTCTCACCCAAGTCCTTGAGGAATCTGAGGGTCGCACTTGGGCCGACGGCAATATTCGAATTGGTGACTACATCCTGCTCATCGACTCCGACACGCGTGTTCCACGAGACTGCCTGCTTGACGCCGTCAGTGAGATGGACGCATCCCCCGAGGTCGCCATCATCCAATACACCTCCGGAGTCATGAACGTTTCGGACTCCTTCTTCGAGCAGGCTGTCACCTGGTTCACGGAAATGATTTACACCGCGATCACATTCGCCGTCGCCAATGGTGACATCTCACCTTTCGTTGGCCACAACGCTGTCCTGCGCTGGTCTGCTCTTCAGGATGCCGCCTCGTACTTCGACGAGGACGATGGATACGAGAAGTTCTGGTCCGAATCGCACGTGTCTGAGGATTTTGACATGGCCTTGCGTCTCCAGACAGCCGGATACTCTATTCGGTACGGTGCCTATACTGGGGATGGCTTCAAGGAGGGCGTGTCCTTGACCGTCTACGATGAGTTGGCACGCTGGGAAAAGTATGCGTACGGCTGCAACGAACTGCTATTCCATCCTTTGCGATTATGGATCACCCGCGGACCCTTCACTCCCCTCTTCAAGAAGTTCATCTTCTCCAACATTGCTTTCCCCCGGAAGATGACTATCCTAGGTTACATCGGCACCTACTACGCCATCGGAGCCTCATGGCCTCTGAC